TTTTAGATCCATCTGAAAATTTGAATATCAATTCTATCAAGCGAGCAAGGAGAGTGGGTGCAAATGAAGTGAACGTATGGTAATCGCACATTTCCATGATAGTGATGATAAATTCAAACTTTTAAGATTTCGAGATATGTTAAGGATGGATGGTATTAGAATTTCCAATAATTTAACATAAAATTATATGCAAAGGCAGCAACTAAAATCTCTCAAAAATAAAGGTCAGTCTAGATATTTTAAAATGGAAATTTAAGCATCATATGTAATGACGACCATGTAAAAGAAGGACAATAACTTTCTTTTCGAGTCTTTAGACAAGGACGACGACATGGCAAACCATTAATGCAGCTGGCGCTTTAGTATGGGTAAATAGGATAGTGGCGGAGGCCCCCACACAGGATAAACTCAAATTTATTGACATGGAACATAGAAGGATTACGTAATAAGTTACACACACTTTGATATTGCTGAAATGCTGCATTCGTATGATTTTATTTCTTTGCAAGAAACTTGGGATGTAGATACGAGTTATTGTGAAAGCTATTTCTGTAACCATATTATGTTTTCATTAAATGAAAAGAAATCTTCTTTTGATGGAAGACTATAGGTGAAGTAACAGTGTTTGTCAAAGCAAGCATTGCTAATGCAGTTAAACGTGTGAAAGAAGACTTCACTCAATCAAACCGAGTCTGCAATTCTTATGTTATTTTGTTGTGATTAATGCTTCCGAGGGATCACTTTGTTTCAAGATTTTTATACTTCACAACAGCAGGTGTCAAGTGCTGTGTGGCAGCTGTAAAAAGTTGCCCCGTACTTCACTTCAGTGTTGTTATCTTTTTCTGGTCCTTCGGGATCATTGATGCCAGCACTATTAAGTGTTGAGAATTGATTACCGCTCAAGCCGGTGCTATGGGGCGTGAGGGATGTTGCACTTGTTCATTATCCCTCATGTACAGACTCAATCAAACCAAGTCTGCAATTCCTATGTAATTTTGTTGTGACTTAAGCTTCCGAGGGATCACTTTGTTTCCAGATTTCAATATGGCATTGTTCTTATCATTGACAAAACATTATTTTCACTGGATACTGATATGCTTTATGTAACTTTATATATTCAACCTCATAATTCCCCTTTTATGATTATGTCAGTATATCTGGTTAACAACAATTAGAAAACATATTTGTTGAGAATAATTACATGGACTTTGAGCTTTTGTTGAATGTTGATTTGAATGCTCGCACAGGGAGTGCTGATGATTTAATATTTTGTTCCGAGAATATTCCAGAATTTCATGAAGTGAGAGATATGGCTACTTCTGAAATTATGCTGAATCGTAGATGAGCTGACAAAGTTATTAACCAGTCTGGACGGGAATTATTAACTTTATGTAAAACTTATTTATGTTATATAGCTAATGGGCGTCTTCAAAACGGTTCCAGTGATGGATTCACCTTTATAAACAGCAATGGAAGTAGTACTATTGTCTACTTTATATTATCAAAAGGCTTGATTGGCATCGCTTGTAAACGTGATGTTTTAAATAGAACCGAAAGTGATCACCTACCCCTAAGTTTAGAATTAGGTACCAGTAATAAATTGTACCACAATGCTGCAATGAAGATCAGTCTTCAATGGTGTATAATATGAACATAGATAATGCTGATGTCTATTTAAATAACCTTTCAGAGAGTGCTATGGATGAAAATTTGACCAAATTGACAGAATGTTATATGATCTAAATGTAAGTGTCATTGAGATTATTTCACAGACAGAACATATCATACAAGAGCATTGTGAGCCATTTAAAAGAATGAAGAAAAAGTATATACACAAAACGGGTAAAAAATGGTTTGACCATGAGTGCAAACAAGCTAAATATGAAGCAAAACGTGAATAAAAACTTTTTCGGGCCACCCGATGTGAAAGAAATCTAATTTACTAATTAACTTTCCAACTTGCACACGCTTAAGCAATGGCTGACACAACGATCGCAAGCACTTGATATAATTCACAAAGACAGTTTTGAACACAGAGCGCTGTTACACAGGTAAACAGTTTTATCATCATTTTGCTTTAAATTAATAGATAAGAAATATTTTGTACTTTGTTTTTTCTCCAAACCACCTGCCGCTTACCTATGTGGGTCTATTGATATTTTCATATCAGGAAGCTATAGTTGGTTCCACTCAGATGCCCGTTTGTGCTTGGGAGAACCTGAGGTATTCCAATATAGGAAGCTTGAAAGTCACCCTTCCTTCTAAAAAACAATTAAGAATGCTGAATTTGAAATTTAACCATGTCAAGTATTTGATATATAATGTCAACATAGGCAAGTTTTGGAATTTCAATATAAAAAGCCCTCAGAGTTGTTATAAAGCATGAATGTTAGACAAACATAAGCTTCGGGGTTCGCGGAGAAATTTAATGCCAGGAGAACCGTTTAGATTATTACTTTGAAATATAACGCGATGAAATGATTCTAAAATTTGCCTTAACGTTGATAAGCTGTACATGATCTTTAAAAATATTAAAAATATTTCTTAGTGAATTTCATTAAAATTATTTCGTTAACATTTTGTCTCTATATTTTCTTCTTTTTCATGAAATTCGTCTATATTTTGAATTTCAATTTTATTGATTTTATTTCTTTACTGCATGTACATGTTACAGTACGTAGGTATTTTTACATGACCGGACCTATCATACAAACCGGGCATGTGTACGTTCAAAAGAAAAAGCTCATTGGAATATGTTTGTTTGGTTAAAACAAGTCTATCTGAAAAAGACAGACATGTTACGACCTTTAGAGGATGTGTGTAAACAATGAATAATATAACCTTATAATAGTTTTTATTGGTTTTAATCATAATCCAGTAGAACGCCTTTAATATCTGTAAACTTACTTTTGGTCATTCTCCTTTCTCTACCTTCAAAGGTAGGACTACGTAATCGCGCACCTACAAAATGCTCCCAATAATGTAGCGCACCAAAGTCTGGCTTTAGTGTTTGATATTATTTTAAAATTATTTAGTTTCGATTTACTGCCTAGTTCATCCTGAAACTGGGATAACGTTGTTTTTTTTCTTAAATGCTCTCATTCAGACTCCAAAACAAAATCTATCCCATTTTCAGACTTAAACTAGATAGAAAAACGAGTACAAGTACAAAAGCCAAATGTTGGTACGATACATATTTTTTTGATTTTCTAACAATTTCTTAGAAAAATAAAAATATCTTCGAGTCGACAAAAAGAGGGAGCCATTTGCATGTGTGCGATGAGGTAATATCCTACCATTGACCTTAATATATTGCAAAATATGCTTCAAGACTTTATATACAAATAGGTAAAGTTTTACTAAAAAAAAATCGTTATGATATTGAAATCAACGGAAAAGAGTCAACTCGGCCCTATACCAACTCGGCACGGGTCAACTCGGCACGGGTCAAATCGGCCCACTTAACAAAAATACATAAAACGTATAAACTTTGCTTTGCATGTTGTTAAGGTAAATGAATGACAAGAAATATCTTATTATTATATAATTATACATTGTTCTCCTGCTGAAATAAAGTATATTTAGAAAAAAAAAAATGTTTTTTTATTTGTCTTGCAGATTCGATAAGATTATTATAAATGTGTTTCCTTAGATGCATTTTGTTTGTAAAGTAACGTTATTATCGCTAGTTTTGGGGCGATTAAAAGTCCGATTTTTAAAATTTATTACATCAATTAAAGGCTGTTAATCTTAGCTTTCTCTCAGTATATATTTCAACACATTCTTTGACACTGAAGGTATTTAAGTTTACAGTTAAACCTACCACGAGTCATAAAAACAGAGAGAGATACGCTATCAGTTATCTTTACTTGTAATTTTACTGATAAGAAAAGCCTTTCTGCTGCTAGTTCGGAAACTGTCAGTCCATGTATTATAAATAATTACCATAATTACAATAAATAATGAATATTTATAACACAAACCTAAATATTTATAATTGAAAAGTGGGCCGAGTTGACCCGTGCCGAGTTCGAATAGGGCCGAGCTGACTCGGGGGCCGAGTACGTTTTAGGGCCGAGCTGACCCGGATTCTAAATCAACTAGTAGCGCTTTGGACTACTTTGGATAAGTCTTTATGTATCCGTCATGAATAAAATATTAGAAAAAAAGTTACATTACTTGTCCTTTTTGTTTAAATAAATATCATGTTTGCATGATTTTCGCCCATCCTAAGCTTGATTTTTTTTGTTGTAAAATATGACGGGTGCAATATACATACCCCTTTGTATTTGAACAATATCTTGTGTCTACGTGCGATGTTACCATTGTTTGTTTTTCACACTTCATATAAATACACATTCAGTATTACAATTAATTGTTGTCATTGCACGTTGTTGATTTTTTTTAATGACGTGTATGTACCGATACATGATAATTACGATGAAACCCATTATAAATCGTCTGCATCTTAACCGGAAGTTATGTCCATTTTACATCAACAAATCTTGAAATGTTGTCTGTTTATGTCACAGGTGTACAAATTTACCTAATAGTATATCATCCCTATATCCTAAATATATACTAATACTCTAAATTTCAGCAGTATGCCGTAACATTGTAAATCAACTACTGATTTACAATAACGCTGTCTTTTAACCTTTCCTCTTTACTATTCCTTTGTTATTTAAATGATTTTCTATGACGTATATAAGTTTGACCAATAGGATCAATTAAACAATATGTTTTGAAAGAAAATAAGATTGTACGTATGTCCCAGAAGATACGCAGAAATTTACAACCTCTTTTCGTAACAAAAAATCGCAGAATATTAAGCCCGCTGAAATAAGAACTTATACAGTATATACATAAACCATGTAAACAGATTGTACAGTAAAAAAAGATTTAGGTACAATTAAATGAGATTACAAACCACATGTCACCATATTTGGTTACTATGACAATGGCAGTTGATAGTAAGGTAATGTTTTGTATAGATATGAAGTAAAGATTTATTTAAAATAATATTCTGTACCTATCGGTTGTACTGTGATATTTGTTCAAACCGGTTTTGAACTATGGAAGTGATAGACGTTAGGGTACCAGTGAAATGTTTTCCGCGGTATCAGTACATGCTGAACAGAAGAAATAATTTGGCTGAGCGATATAATGTATTGATGAGAAAGTATAAATTAGACAACTGTACACTAAACGCGGTAAATGATGACAATATCCGTCTCTTGTTTTGTAAATCAGTTAATTCAAAAAATCATTTTCCAGGCATAGAATTAGTTGTTCCAAGACATCTTGACACTATTAAAAGGATATATATCGGCAGAAATTTCAGAGAAAGACTTACTTTAACAGAAGACAAGTGTTTTTTACTTTTAATTGGTGGAGATACTTTGACATATGACAATTTGAAATTGCTTAAAGACTTGCCTGTAAGCACTTTTTTGTTATTGAAGGACATCAAAGGAAAGAATATATTGTCAGAAATATTACTTGGTTTTGGAAACATCGACTTGTGCCTAGAAGAAAATATAAGTCCAGTACTGACAAAGCATTTAGAAAGATATGCCTTGACAGGAATGAGGGATGCCTGCGACAATTTGATTTTTTTACTTACTGGTATAAGTTCTGGAGAACCTGGTGTATCAGAAACAGAACAAAAGACCAAAGGTATGTTTTGAAGCTTTGTTTCTTCAAGTATTATTAGTATATTTTTAATGTTTTATGAGCAGGTTTTTTTATTATAATACAGAAAAATACGTCAAAGAATAATAAATCTTTCCAGAATCGAAATTATGTTTGAACTGACACGATTTTCATTAAGATTTAATAGCATCATTTCTTGGACAAAAACAGACTTAAGGTAGAACGCGACACTTTGCGAACTTTCGAGTAGCGTCTTAAAAATTGGCATGCACAAAATTGACCATATTTCTGATTGGATTTTTTTGATTTTATTTCAATTGTTGTTTCAGCCAATTTTTTTACAAACGACGTCAAAGTTGACCATCAAAACCCGTTTATGAACATGACGTCGTTGGCAACTTTTTTCTGGTATTTTCACCCCATTGGCGGACAAAATATCTTAAATCCTACAGCATTCGATGGAAAGTATTTTTCCCTTTAAGCAGATATAAAATTTATTGTTTTACGCCGAAAATTGTTCGATTAATGGAAAGAAAATTTTTAATTTTGTGTAAAATTTGACGTTCAGTTTAGCCGCAATTTTCGGCTTTAAAGCGGCTTATTAAAAGATTCCTGAAATAAATTTTTGATTTTGTTCTTTAAACGTCCTTTAAAATGTATGCTTAGTCAAAATAACTAATTAAATCAACGAAATCCAGTCAGAAATATGGTCAATTTTGTGCATGCCAATTTTTAAGACGCTACTCGAAAGTTCGCAAAGTGTCGCGTTCTACCTAAACATGAGACAATACATACAAAAATAGGGACAAATAATAAAGATATCAATTATCATTGTAAAGTGTCATTATAGATAGGTAGATATGTAATGATACGTAAATCAAACTATATACACTTACCGTACGTTTGCTTTTGATCTAGCATACCTGAAAACACTTAAATCCCGGTTTTATACCAGTAAATGGCATTATCTAAAACCTGTTTGTTCTTGACTGACGATTGTTTTTATACTACGGTTTTCAGACATGTCAGGACTGGAAACAATATAAAAAGTTGATTTGAAAAAATGTTTACGTTCTAAGTGATTTAAATGGAAATTTATACAATGAATGATAGTATCTAAGTGTAGACCATTCTATCATCTGCTAAATAAATATATTTGGTCATCTATTTTGCATTTGCCAACAACTTCCTTCTCTCGTGGCTTCTTTTTATGTCTAACATTAAATATTATCAACGTTATAATAGACTGATACATTTTAAACATAAAAATGCAACTACATGTATTATAGGCATTAGCAGTAAGAAACCAAATATTGGTTACATTATTGAGTGATTACATGATAAGGCAATCTAAACCAAAAATAAACAGCGATGATATTTCAAAATGTTAATAATATTGAATTCTTTATTTAAGGAGAGATATTTCGTGGTTCTGGAAATATAAAATTGATGAAACAACGCGCATTATCAGTAGGACAGGGCAGTATGTTTTTTTCTGTCTCTCTCAAGTATCAAATGAAATAAAATTAAATATTGGAAATGCGTTATAACGCGACCCAGAAGGCGTTATAACGCAAAACAAAAGGCGTTAATAGCTTAATACTATATTAATGCAAATCAAATAGTTTAGTAACGTAAACAATGAAGAACAATATTACATTGTATTAATGTAAATCGGCACGCATATTTTATTAACAGCAAGCACAGATCTTTACGTACCACACCACGCTGGTCATTAGATTTAATCCTTGCCTCTGGGTGAATCTCAAAGATAACATAGTAACTGTCGATAATTTATTGCAATTAACACATTTATGTGACATGATAGGCAGCTCAATTGAACCCTGTCCCTAAAATTCGCCGGCGTAAACATCGCATAATTTATATGACACGACTGCCACGTTTTAATCAGCCAGTTTTACAAAAAACTACACGCAACGTCACATCTACTGTGTAAATCTATATGCATATACATTATTTCGAGTAAATGGCATGAGTATGTGCGGATCTAAAAAAAAATAACAAAGTCGGCCGCATTTTTTATGTTTATGGAATTGAAGTCATACAAATACAGAAAAAAATTCATGTAAACTGGACCATTAACAAACTTGTTAAGATGCAACAAAATAAATAACTAGTCATCTGTTGTTATGATCATTATTTTATATTGTTTTGTGTTTTTTAAAATACAACATTAATAACAAAGTCAATTAGATTGGTAATTAAAAAGTGCAAACTGACAATTTTATCGCCCCATATCTACGCGATTATCTCAAGTATTTTCTCTGGCACGATCAAGTAGTCCCTGTGATGTGTTTATGATAGATAGATAGATAATTTATTGACGTATGCATTCAGCACATAGTCATATTACACACATTTATATAGTACAATCAAATACGATATCATGGTACATGAACAAAGTTGTAGCACAAATTTTCAATTTACATATTTTTGGAGAATGAACGTTAACACCATTTAGTAATAAAGTGAGCTTATCTATTATAAAGCGTTTACATTATTAAAGATATAAAAATAATGGATTTTAAACTTAATCATATTCTGTAATAAGATTCCATTTAACAATGTTTCATACTAGACACATTATCAAGTTATTTCAAGATTTAACAATATCACTTTTAAATACAAAGAGACAAATTTATACATTGATTTACATAACATTTAGTAGTTCAATTCGATGTTTTGTAGCATAATAAAAATATTTACCTAAACCTATTAATTCAGACTTCTTTTCAGTACTTAATAATTCAATCAATTTGAACATACTTGGTCTTCTGTAGTAGTATTGCTTAATGTAAAGAGAACGTATATAAGAGTAACTATTACAAACACATATTAAATGGAATTCATCTTCTATTTCATTACTATCGCAAAGCTGACATATGCGTTCCTCTCGGGGTAATCTATTAGCACCATATCTACTTGTTTCAATCCGAAGTTTATGTGACGATAATCTTAATCTTGCTATGCAATTTCTATAAGTTCTGTTATGGAGAATTTTCAGGTAGTGTCATTTGAGTTTCATTTCAAATGAGTTATGCAAATGTACATAATTATATATTACTTAACAATGGACTGTTTGAAATATCGCTAGAAGCAGATTAGTAAAAAGCAGTCAATCATCCATTGTTTAAAAAGTTTAACAAAATATTTGGCTTCGTATTGAAATGGGTTGTTCCAAACATCAGAAAACCCGTACTCATTTAATATTCCATGTACTTTAGAAGCCCAACATTGATTGTTGTTTTCATGTAATTCAAACGAAGCGTACATAGCAGTTTTCAAAATGATATTATCGCTATTTATTATTTTAAGCCAGTATGTAATAATTTGCACACATCGTTTAATCAAAATAATGGATAACGACCAATTTCGCTATAGATTTCTGCAGTACAAGTACTTTGTTTCACTCCTAATATAGATTTGCAGAATTTAAGATGTAATCGCTCTATATCCTTTGATTTAGAAAATCCCCAAACAGCACTAGAATAGCTGAGCACTGAACCGACAAAAGAGTCAAAAAGCTGCAACGCAATGCTAGGGGTTAACTCATATTTATTGATGCTCTTTAATAAAACAGACATTGCCTTTAAACCTTTACCAATAACGTATTGATATTAAGTGTAAAAGACCCATTGTAATTAAAAACTACGCCTAGATATTTCACAATTTCTATTAGAATATCATTATAATACCAATTTTCATTATCTTTTAAAGGCCCTCTTTTCCTAAAAAACATTATTTTGGTTTTATTTGTATTCACCTCTAAACCCCATTTCATACAATATTCATATAATTTATTTAAATTGTTTTGTAAATCCATAAGAGTTTTAGCAAGAACAGCCATATCGTCTGCAAAAAGCAAAATAATTTAACACAAATCGAATAATGAAATACCACTATCAATATTTTCTTGTAGAAATAGTTCAATATCTTCTAAAAACAGAGAAAATAAAATTGGCGAATTATTTAGGCCCTGTTTCAAACCTAGCGAAATATCGAAAAATTCTGTAAAAGTGTTACAATGTTTTATACATGACTTCTTAGTAGCGTACATTGCTTTGAATATTCTAAGTATTTTTCCATCCAAACCAACCTTACAGAGCTTAAACCATAAAGCATTCCTGTACACAGAATCAAAAGCCTTCTTTAGGTCTATAAAAGCGCAATAAAGGCGTTACTTTTGTGATAAAAAATATTCGATTAACGAATTTAAAACGAAAATCGCGTCGACTGTACTTGCACCGTGACCAAAACCGAACTGAGCATCCCCCTTTTTATAAATTGGGACGATATAACCATATGTCAAGGCTTTAGGAAAAAGACCTGAATCAAATATCTTAATAAAACAGTCGGTTAGATGCCCTGCAAGTATGTCTGCAGTTTCTATAAAATACTCATTAAGTAAATTATCAACAGGACACGAGGCTTTATTACGATTCATACGACTTATTGCTTCACGAACTTCTTCTGTGGTTATTGGGATATTCAACTACTCAAACGTGGGATTATTTACGTTAAAATCATTATTATTTAGTTTTCGATTTCTTCAATCTGTGTCGCATGTAATTCGTTAAACATGTGATATGTGATCGAGATTTGTGACATATAGGGGGCCTAATCGACTTTTCTCTCAAGTTTCTTACATATTGTAAACCTGAGCTATTTATAGATATAACTTGCCACTTATCTGATTATCTGTCCAAAAAATCGGCCGGAAAAGCGCCGATGCATGTTTTAATATACAGAATAGAGACATGGTGTAATAAAATATTGCTGGATCTTAAATTCGAGGATTGACTTACCCACGAAAACCACGAAAATTCATGCCCCACGAATAATAATGATTTTGCAGTAATTTGATTTTGATTAATTTATTGCTCAAGATATAGGTGCGTTTCATTTTCAATTATCTACGGATACGTCCTAATGCCACAGTCTGATTTATTTTACATTTTGTAAGGAAATACCTTCACCGAAGACGGAGTAAATTATCACCCACCTTTAAGATATTCCCCCCTAATTTGAACAGTATTCTACTTACAAAGAAGATAATGTCTCCTAATTTTTGTATTTATCTTAAAAAAATATCCTTTTAGGCTTACCTTTTATATAACATGTATAATAAAGATACACTTTGACCATAATATGAATTACCAATACCTTAAGTCACGCAATTAGAAGATACTATCAGGTTATTAATTATACAAGACATATCAGTATATATCTGAGATATCTATTTACCTATATTTGAAAATATGACGCACATAATAAGATAAGAAAAGGTTTGATAAGACAAGTTGATAAATTTATTTATTGACCTACCCACGAAAACCACGAAAATTCATGCCCCACGAATAATAATGATTTTGCAGTAATTTGATTCTGATTTATTTATTGCTCAAGATGTAAGTGCGTTTCATTTTCAATTATCTGCGTATAATTGCGTGACCTTTCTGCTTATGCGGCTATTGACAAAAAGACCAGCGAAAAATGTGTGAATAAAGAGTAACTACATTTACGCCAAGGCTTAAAGGACCTATAATATTGACAAATATCTAAAGATTCGTCGTAAGTGTGCAAATGGAATGATATAATTTGTTAAGGAAAACTATATTGTTATATATATCTTGAGCAATTAATTCAGATTGTGTAACCAAGCCATTTGATTCAAATGTATATGGTATTAAATTGGTGTTATAAGGCATTTTGGTTCGCGTTACAACGCCTTTTGTTTTGCGTAATAACGTCGTTTATTTCACGTTATAACGCCTTTTTTAGTTATAACGCATTTAAATTTTTAAATTTTATTTTATTTCATACTTTCAAGCTTTCGCAGTCTTGTACATGGTATGTAAAAGTTACTTCAAACATAAAATAAATGGTTTCAAAATTAATATATTGTATTGAAAAATCAACTGTTCATTTTTAAGGGACTCCAATGATTTTTTTGACATAATGGGACTAAAAATATTTTTTTCAGATAAATGTACCATTTGATGGAACACTGATCTTTGCGCAAAATTTAAGATCATTCGCGTGCTTCATTTTCCGGAACATTTATTCAAATTGTGAAAAGATTACCCAAAATGAAAAGCGTTTAAACACTTTTCACTCAAATCGGGCTATGAAAAGCATAAAAATACGATTTTGAATTCATTTCAAAGTATATTTCTTAACTGTCCTTCCATATATTTCTGTTTAAAGTGCCTCAGCTCATTTTTGCAAGAAATTCAAATGTTATGCTTTTAGGCTTTCAAATTTTGGTGGAGTCCTTTTAAGTACCTCAATCATCTTTATGTATGTTTTCAGCCAAAGATACTTCAAACAGATGTTCAAATCGACTTGGCCCCGCCAAAAACAGGAAAGAACGTTTGTATGATGCAAACATTGGAAGAGGTATGTGAATCTAAGAAGGAAATTGAAATTCTCGAAATTAAATTTTATGTTTACAGCAACAACATGCTTAGAAATTGTTTGTTTTAAGTTTCAGAACAGAGTCAAATACCAACAGATATTCCAGAAACAGACATAAATCAAATTGAACGTCTTCATGACGAATTCGTTGGTACATTCAACAGGAGTGTTCTTCCTGAAGACGAAAAACCTTATTTTGCTGACAAGTTGTACAAGATTGATAAAACGGTTGGTTTAATACTTTTTGAATGGTAACGATAAACTCACTATAACAAAACACTATTAATAATTGATATCCCATGTATAAAAATGCATTGACAGACATAAAAGACGGAGAAGAAAAGATGCAATAACCGATAAAGTCACGCGGGACCCCGATGCACATTTCTTTATGATTCAGGGAGCCATGTCAAAATAGCTAACTTCATTTAAGAACTGCAATTTCAGTATCCAAATCCGTCGACCTGTACATAAATGAAATGAACATAGTATGAACATTACATTTATGAACTATACTGTAATATAGATATAAACAGTCTTGTCCAAATACTTTACGTTTGATTGTTATGACTTTAGCGAAAGATGTTTATCCTAGTTAAACACTTTGTTTTGTTTTACAGATATTGCACAAACTTCAGGAGCAAAGTAATTTCATAGAAAGCATTGGATATCGATGCAGTACTCTCCAGGTTAATATAACCAGCTATCCGATTTCAGACGAGCTTAAAACAAACATCGAACGTATAATGGAAGAATACAACATTAAAAGATACGCTATAGTCTCTTCGGGGATACAGAAATACTTAACCTGTCATGTTGGCAAAAAAGTAAAAATTGAATATGAAAAGGGTAAATGTATTAGCGGGACACTTGGCGGATTCGCTACAACCTCCTCGGAAGAGTCTGAGCGAACCTGGGCAATCCTATCAAGACATGTTGTAAAAGGTAGTTTTGACAGGAAGCTGTACATCGCAAATGACGAACAAACATATATTGGAAAGGTTATGAAAGAAGTAAAGGAAGAAACGACTGATAAGCAATACCTCGATATCGCCGCTGCATCATTAAAAAGAGAAATATCAGTTGATCCTAGTTACATTACTGAAGAGAAGGTCCTTGTTCCAGGAAAGCAATGTTTCTACGATGCTGACAATCTAAGAGGTTTAAACGTTCATATTAAAGGAGCTTCAACCGAACTAGGTCTTGGCACAATTACTATTCCGGAACAAATTGCAGTCCAAAACGACAATTTGGATGAGAACCACATTATTGTAGAAGATAGGCATGGAGGAAATGCTTTTTGTAAAGCAGGCGATAGTGGGGCGATAGTGTGTGCCGAAAATCCGGATAAATATGGAGAAGAGGTCCAGTTAATTTCAATGGTTATTGGAGAAAATATTAACAAAAAGGGTTCATATACTACGGTTAGACTTGACAAGGGTTTAGAACAGCTTAAATCCTTAACTGGTAAAGAATTCCACATGTGTTAATTAAATAATAATTGTACAAATTCTATAAATTTTTATGGTGTTAAAGGTTTGAAATGTGGAAGTATGATTGTTGACAATCAAACAATTCATGTATCACTAATTATTTTTATTGAATGCTCTATTGTTATTTGTATATTAAACATTGAATAATTTTCAAATTCAACACTGTAAAGAATTACATAATCTAAGAAGTGCCTGTAATTATTAGAAGTCTTCCAATAGAAGTACAACAAAAAGCCTACAGACAAAACGCCGACATACAAAATGCTGATGGGACATTAGATCAACAAGTCAAAAGATTGACGCGACAAATGGTCGACAAAAAAAAAACACTTACAAAACGCCGACAAACATCGACACACCTGAGTTCATGTTTATTCTGAGAAATGAAATAATTTAGCGTCGCATATATAAGACTTTCTTATAGAAAATATATGAATGTGTAAGTTATTGATAGATACGACATCTGAATAAAGATAATACACAATCAGGATGATATTGTGAGCGAGATTTATTCATTTGTATGCTTCATATTGATGTATGAGAAAGCATTAAGGTACCGAAACGTATTTTATATCAGTTCATGTTCATATCATTGAATAGATTAGTGCTACTGTGTATCAATGTCTTTATTTTCAAAGTGTTAACAGTTATAATACCAATCAAATAAAATCCAATTTGAAACACATGTTTGTTGTTGATATAAGATATTGTCAGATATCAGTATATAATTTTATTTGAGAGTGACTGAATAAGAAACTGTGTACCTTTGTTTCCGAACTAACAATATAATTTTCACAAAAGAATCAAAAGATTAAAGACGGTACAATAACCTGTGCTTTAAGCTGGTGTATAGAGACCCTAGGGTTGTTTTTTGTTATTTCCGATTAAAAGAGCCTGCAATTTGTATCTTTTATAAAAGTGTAAATTGCTGCCAACGGTTTCCCTTTTTAGAAGTTTATTTCTGTTTTACCGTTGTTTAACCCATGATATCTTTAAAAAGCGATTTTTCAACATTGAAACTGGCCAATGCAATCACATCTCTTAATCAGATCAGGAATACATTTTATTTCATGACTACACATTGGTAACTTTAATTTGTTTTCAAAAGATAAATATGTTTAACTTAATGTTTTGCTTATGTTTCACCTGAGACTTTGCCTATATACAAAAAATGACTAGTGTACTATTTTAATACGTATGTTTAGACTTTCAAGTGATAATGAAGATCAAAGATTATACAAACCGTTTACAACTCTCGCAAATGAAAAGAAAAATGCTTATCAGGAACAGCAGGTAAAAAGTGTTTGAATGTTGTACAAATGTAAATGATTTATTCATGTATAAAGAAAACGCATGCTTAAATAAATCTTGTTTTAAGTTTAAGGTTTTTATATATAAAGTATACAGAACCCGTAATATCTTTTAACATTAATGAAACTGCAAAAAGAACTATAAAAAATGTTAAAACGCTTTTGCTAAATTTTATGTTGGTAAACGTGCTGGTTATGATTTTTAAATGCCTAATTTTTTAAAATTAAATATACTTGTGACGAGATAACACAATTGTTTTTTATATATTTTATTTTTTTCTGTTTCTTTTTTTTAAAATGACTTTAAGTGAGATTTCGCCTCGGAGTCTTGATATCTGGAACGAGCGAATTTTATAGTCATAAGCTATATTTAAGTTTGTCAATATTGTGTGCAAACACTAATATGCAATATGTGCTCTTTTTGTGTGCCATTTAATACTTCAATCCAGTACAATTTGTAAAATCGTAGAAAACAATTATTAAATTTTTCCTGTCAAACATACTGCAAAACTACGATTTGTTTTGTTTCAAAACGACATGATAAATAGAAGGGGTGTTTGTATGCAATTAAGTATTTGCATACGCAAGAATGAATGCACGAAACATAAACAACCGTTTCTTTCAATGTTTAAGCAAGTAAAAGTGATGCTTACGTCAGGTTGGTCTTCTATATGGGTGTTCTTATATTAATTGTTTACGTCAATAATGGTACAAAACAAATACAAAAATAGAAACAATATGTTTATAATTATATACAATTCTCATAGTTATGCCAACAAGCAAATTGGTTTAATTCTCCATCAAATAATATAAATCATTTGCCGTGATTAAATCTTCCAAGTATCATGTGACATGGAGAATTATTATGGTAAAAAGTCCACAAAGAACGGAGGGTATCAAGTGAAAGAAACTCCGGGTCCGGGATTAATGAAAGCAGGTATCAATTTCATTTAAACAAATAAGACAAGGGGTAAAGATGATATTAATATCAGCTCTGATTTATTTAGTATTGATGACTGAATATATATAAGTATAATTTCTTTGTTAAAAAAGACAATACTTCAGGAGAAACAGAATTTGTTGAATTTGTGATACATTATTATATAGAAACGGCAATAATTGAATACATTTTGAAATTATGTTCGATTTTCACGCCAGACAAATATCTCAGAGCCAATAAATTTTGTCAAGGCAATGAATATATTTGTAGACTGTTGAAATGTGTGATTTGTTTTCAAACAGCCGGCAATTTTCTATCTTGTGCAATCATTATTGACATATGCTGTTCCATTGAAACATCCATTCCCTTTGCAGATGAATATTCATATGACTCCCAAGAAATACTTTTACGTTTATTTCTCATAAACTTGTTATATTCTGGTGTTTTATCGTTTCCAAAAATATATTCATTCGCCATTCATATGAACTATCTGTCGCTTTTTAAGATCAGTTGGCAATGTGTATTATGATTGTAAAAAAATTGTATTTTATATGGAAGTTGTAAAATTTCACAGTTAAGTTATCAAAATATAATTTCACACTTTTCATTGACGAAACTACTTTTTTTAAGATTTTCCCGATGTGGTACCTCAATTTTATTTTTGCTGACAATGTCAGGCTGTTCAGAAAAAAGCAAAGCTGAAATTGATAAATAACTTATATGTCAAAAGTAATAAAAAGAAAAAAACTTACTTCTATTCAATCACCAAATATCGACTGTTATTTTCTTTGTTTCATTTTTACTGCTCTTGATGACACTTTGGCATATTTATGTTTCTATGTTTTGACATTTCTAAAGAATTTAAAAATGCGGATTTGTGATGCCTAGCTTGCCTTTGAACACTTTTTATCAAATTTTCCGAAGTTTTATTTTCTCTTGCTTTGAAGTTACTAAATATGTACATTTGTTTTTTATGGTTTTACTAACTTTCTTTATAATAAAAATTAATGCATCATTAACATTTCATTTGAGCATATTGTCAGGATGTGAACGTGTAATTCGTAACTTGTCAAATGTGGTGTTTTACAATCTGATATCGGGGTACAAACAAGATTATACCGTTATAGTAAAACGGTTCACAATAGAGTGAAATGTAAATGTTGCAACTTTGTACCCCTGGATTAACTTTGAAAACGCCCCAAAAAGTAGGTCTATCATCTAACGACTTTGCATAGGTGCTACAGAACACAGACTGCTTATTCCGTCTATGGTTATGTTAAGTTAATATTGTGATGCTTTTCAATAATATCTATACTGGCATTTCACACTCCTGATTTGATTGGAATATGACTTATTTCTGTTAAAACAGGCAAATAGAGACATACTATGGCATGAATGCAATATTTGTTGTTGTCATTTATTGCTCTGAGTAACTTAAAAAAAAATAGGTTTTTTTATATATAAGATCTCCGTTTAATCCTAAATATTTGAATTTTATGCCTCAGAAATCAATATATTTTTTATTCTTTAGAAATGTCTAACATGTGTTTAATAGAGTTTGAATAATGGACTCGGAGCATGTTAGATGTTTAACAAGTGAAGAAAGTAGCGCTGAATGAGCAGTAATGTGTCAAAACGGTAGTTAAATTAATGTGAACAAAGTAGTATTTTTACTTCTATACAAAATATTAATTCAGTATAATTATAAAGATTGCCAATAGAGCTATAGTTGCAAACTAAAGTCCATGTATATGGCAAATGATAATTACGATCAAAACTGTAACAAGATTCCAACACTTAACCGTATTTTGAGAAATAGAATTAATATCATTTCTGGGACATAAAGGCACTTATATTCTCAAAAAAATGTGTATATTTCTAATGGAACGAAATTAAAAAGTGAATGTTTAAATGGGTTAAACACAATCCTACAAAGATTGAAAGGAAAACTGTTTGCCACTTAAATTGATTTAATTCGGTAGTTGATGAATTGACCCGCGGAACAAACCAATTTAGATGCTATGTTGATAAATTGTTTCAAAAAAACTGTGGAAAAGAAAATGAGAAAATAATTTGCTGTGAGAAGTTTGTCTCTCAAATCTTCACAAGTAAGTATTGTTACACGAAATCGCTTCAAATGAATATGAACACACCAGATTGAATTGAAAACAACTAAATTAACAGGTTCGTTATTCCGTTTGAGTGACGGTTCAATTCACTGTTCAATGTTAACTTTCATTAACACATTATTCAACATTTGAAATGCTAAAATCTAAAGAAAAAAATACTTTTTTGAATTTAGAAATTTTATATATACAAACAATCATTTAGTAGCTAATTTGATATCGTGTTATAAATAGGTTTTATTTCTTTCTGTATCTAAATCCCGGATAAAGACGCTGTACATATAGGTTCAAAACAATTTTTTACCTCGATAGAAGAATTTCTTGATGGGGGAGACAATTGTGTTTAAGTCAAAATCTAATTCTGGCGATAAATTGGCACATCAATTGGGTTTTTGAACAAATGAATGTGTCCACCTTAATTTATACAACGGAAACTGTAAATTAAAACAGGTGGTTAAAAGAGCAGGAGGAGCTTTGAAAAAATAAAAGGTTTAAAGGATAATATTTTTTTCGTGACGAATGAGATAATGCAAATTTCAGTCAGCGATTTGAGATTTTTTTTATTTCGATACTCATTGCTTAAGAGGTCTTAACCCTTTACCTCATATAGACGTATTTTGACGGCTTTTCGACCCCCCCCCCCTCTTTTTGAGCCTCAAAACAGTGAAAAAATGCCCTATTTAGGCCCCAAACACTGTTTTGCGTTTGAGAAATGTTAATAAAAAAGTGATCACTTTTTCGGCGACACCCCTATCAAAAAAGTACATCAAGTGGTTGCCAGAAGGGGGATGTGCCCCCTTCTGTTTCGGGTGCCCCCTTCTGTTTCGGGGGTTTGAATGGGGGCGGCAGCCACCCTCATCGCCAAGAATATTTTGGACATGTGACAGGCTAGAAATTGCCTCAGATCGGTCGTAAGGCAACGTTTTACCAACGCTGTAAAGCCCGTTACTCTA